ATTCATGGATCCATCGAAATCTAATCTACTCACGTCAGGATCCTTGAATGATGGTCTGTATCATTTATCAAAAAAAAAGAAACGAATATAAAATCTACATTTTTTTTAAACTTAAATAGTTGCACACAGATCAGCTGGTTCATCATTAACTAGTCAAAATCTGGAACATTGTACTGATAATAATTCAAGTGAATCCACAACTATGCCATCCAATCGTCGTGATGGTCCCTTAGCAAAACAACTTGCAAATAAACTTTCAATTGTTGCTAATACAAACACATCAATGTATGTAAAATATAACTTTCTCTTTACATTTGAATGTAAGAAACGAACTATTCAATTCGATTTAGATCATCAACTAACAGTCTTAATCATTATAAAAATTCACCAAATGGTACTCTTGATATTGAACAACAAGAACAAGTTAGTCCATTAGGTAATGATCAGTATTTTTAATATATATATATAATAAAGAATATTTCTCTCAAACAGGTGCTTGGGGATTTTTACCATCACCAACCGAGAATGATGTATCATCTGATTGTCAAACATCTCCACTTCTTTCTCATGATTCAACACGATTATCAGCACAAACTTCACCACAAAAGTCATCTAGTCAGAAAAAGGTTAGCATACAAATAACATTATCGAGAATAATTGTTTAAATATCTGTAGAGTATTATCATTTAACGAATTGAAATGTTCTTTTTTTTTCTATTCTTTAGAGTGACAAATTATATTTACATGAACTTACTCGTAAGAATTCATTAGTAACGACAGATGATAATACAAACGAAAGTATAACAAAAACAGGTACATTGAAAAAGAAGATATAGAACGATGAATAAAATTAACGTTTTTTTTTTCTAAAATCTTATTTTAGCTTCAACAGATGAAAATGAAGATGAAATATTGGAGAAACCTCGAATTGTTCTTCAGAAAATACAATTTGATGATCCAGGTATGAATATTAAAACCCACACCCTCATCCTATGAGATACTTGATTCACCATGTCATATCTATTGATTTTGCCCCACTGTGTTACTCGTACATCAAAGTTTGACAAATATACAATTCATACTAGCAAATAGTATAATGCAGGAATGAGATCGCTGATTTCTGATTTAAGATGACATTAAAAGCAATAAACTTATTGAACTTTTTTTAAATTAATTTAGAACTTTTTCCGCCTGAACTTACACCTGATTTAGTAAAAGAATTATCACAAGAAAATGCTCAACGTACAAATCGACAACGTCGTTCCAATAATAGTACAACATCATTAAATACATCACCAAATAAAAAACGTCATAGAAAAGTATCTGACGAAGACGATAATTATGATTATGATAAAGCTGAAGATGATGATGATAGTGATGAACGTCAACCATTAAGAAAACGTATACGTCGTGCAGGTTTAACAAATGAAAATACACTTAATAATAATTCAGTCGATGCTATGACTGCATTTCAAAAGAAAACACGTGATCGTTTAGCACGTAAAGCATTGGATATCGATGCTGATCCTCATGAAAATACATCTTATAAACGTTTTATAAAATTATTAGATATATTTAATGATGATTATGAACGTCATTATGAAGATATGGACGAAACACCTGATGAACATTATCTTGATTTAATTTTATCTGAACATACATTAGAAGAAATGTCAACATTATCAGAAAAATTAAAACTTTCAACTTATATGTCACGTGTTGATCTTTCAAAATTAAAACGTTTATTGGAAATTTTATCATTACGTATTAAACAAGGTATTGAATTAAGTCCAATACTTAAACATGATATTAATGATGAAGTTAAAGAAACTGAAGAAGATGAACGTGCATGGAGAAATTTAGTATTTGAACGTTTAACAATGTGTGGAAATGCATGTGAAATAGCATTAAATGTAATGACAACATTAAATATGCCAAAAGAAATTCTTGTTGAAAATGTTATTGAATATACAGCTTTATTTATAAAAGGACAATTAGCTAAAACAATTTTTCCTGAATATGATCCACTCTATCGAAGTGATAATCAGGCAAACGGTAAAATAGAAATTAAATAAAAACAAAAAAAGAAAAATTCGTTTTTTTAGATCCTTTAGTAACTAAACAGAAGCGAGCAAAAGTAACCGGAGCAAAATGTAAACAAGTTCAAATACTCTACAATAAAATTGTATCATTATTTCAAGGCATTGCAGATTTAATGCCATTAGGAAAATTTACAGATACAATTATACTTGCAGTAAGTTATTGAATGAAATGATTTCACCGTAGTTTAATCTAATACTTTTCAGAAAGGCGGGATTTTGATCCCGCTCCCGACGGGATGGAGATCGAGTTCAGGAACAAAATAGAGATTACGACAGTCCCGTCGGACCCTACTAGGAACTCTAATAATTTAGTCCGGATTAATATACTTTTGATATTTGCCTATAAAAGATTAAACTCTATTAATTTCGAATCGGAGTCGCATTTGTTATACTTTCAACGAAGTTTTCAGCTAACCAGATAACTGCTTCACAGATTGCAGATTGTTCGTTCCTTTTCTACTAAACTTTCTGTACGATATCAACAATCTACTCTTTATTTAGATCTCTTCATTTACTGTCAGTTGTATTTATGTTGAAAATATCTTTGATTTACAAGCACATTCATTAACTATTCTTCCCGAATTATTTTCTCGTTATGAATATCATCGTGATTCGATTCTTGATGATATTCTCTTATCAATAGTACGTTTACCAACAAGTAAAAAAAGTCTTCGATGTTATCGTTTACCATCTGGTGAATCTATTCAAATGTTTACTGCATTAATTATGAATTTAATACATTCACCTGTAACAACAATAAATTCTAATATAACAGATGCAGCTAATGAATTACATTTATTAAATACATATACAACAGCACAAAATGTTGCATTTAAATTTTTAACATTATTTTTTCGTTCATGTGGAACAAAACAAGGTGAAGATGATTATCGAATTATATTTGAAAATTTTTTAGCAGATTTACTTACTACCGCTAATCGTCCTGAATGGCCAGCATCAGAAATTCTCTTAACATTATTATCACGTATATTAATGACAAATTTTTCCAATAGTTCATTACCAATACAAATACGTTTACAATCATTAGAGTATCTAGGATCTGTTGCAGCACAATTAAGAAAAGATACAATTGAATTAGATGTTTTAAATTCAAGAGAAAATCAACATCGACTTGATCAAGTTATTCATAAAGTAAGAGAAAACTAAATTTTTATATTTTGTAATTTACCTCGAGTTTTTTTGTATAGACTTTAACAAGTATTGAAACAGATGAAGATGTTTTAGAAGTACATAAAACAGATCCATTACGATATCATCGTAGTTTAATTATTTATATCAATGAATTAAGTCAAAGTGAACCAACTTGTCATGTAAGTTTATATAATATGAAACGATAATTTATTTCGTTTTTTCTAGTTTTCAAAAATGTTTCATATTGGTCAATGGCTTCGTGATGTTAATATAACTGTTGAACGTTTAACTCAAACTTTAACAAAACGAACGAAACCATCAACTATACAAGCTCAATTAGTGTTTGATGATATTGATGAAACAATAAATACGAAAGATTCTGATACAACAATATCAATAACAGATGAAATTGAATTAAGAAAAAATGAAAAAATTACTATAATGAAAATGCTTTCATTACCAATAATAATACGTAAACAACAACGATATATATCTGATATTGAATATGATGATATTTGTTTATTAATGCGTTATTTAACATCAAATAGACCATTTTTAAAAACATTTGATGTTTATCTTAAACAATTAGCAGCTGTTTTTCAATCGGAAGCAGGAACAAATATACGAAGTAAAGCAATGAAATGTTTATGTACAGTTGTTGAAGCTGATCCAACAATCTTAGGAAGAAATGATATTAAATCATGTGTACAAGTTGGTTTAACTGACAAAAGTGTTAGTGTACGAGAAGCAGCTATTGATCTTATTGGAAGATATATTGTACAAAAACAACAACTTATTCTACAATATTATGATGTACTTTGTGAAAGAAGTATTGATACAGGTAAAATAAAACTTTGAAGACAAGATCTCTTGAGGGTG